GTGAACCAGTTGGCGGTGTTGGCGAATTTCTCGTCGCGGCGAAGGCGAATAAGCCGCGCGGTGTACGTATGTTGCCTACCTGTTGCGAACCGGCAACCGTGCCTACGTCGCGATTATGCCGAGCGATTAATCGAGAACGGATCGGCCAACGATTTTCGGCGCACCGCCTTCCTTTTCCGCGCCGGCGAGCACCGAGCCCGCCCGCGCTCCACTATTCTTAATCCCGGAAAGCGAACGTTTCATTGCGGACGACGGCCGGACAGTCACTGGTGATTCCGCTGATCGCGTTCCACTTCTGTCAGTTCTACTCTAATTTTCAAAATTCCACTAATTCCACTCTCATTTCTAAATTCATTCCAAGCATGAAGCGTAATTTTCCTCAACGTGCCTTCGCTTCAAAGTTCAACGGATATCGATCTCAGACGTTTTAATTTTGAACTTTCCGCGGACCGGCATTTATTTCTGTTGATCCGCGCAAATTGCACCTTGGCAGAATCGTCGTGACGTAATTGCATATTGCATAATTGACTTAATTTATCGCTAATTATGTTTGTATTCGTGGTTGTGCGTGATGGAGTGTACCTCATCCGAGTATAGCTCATTAATCTAGTAATAAATATAGTTCAACGGGCTAATAAGAATGGCTATAAACGCAGCCAGCTTACACGTTTCCACGCAGTACTCATAGTTGTGCATTTAATTACTTAATTAGGCGGTTTCTTGCCACGGCGACCGCCGTCGCGTGTTATTATGTATACCGGTCGCCGTTCGTTCGCCGCGTAAATTCGAGCTAGCGTAACGTGTATCGGCTGGAAGTAGCAGCAGCAATAGCAGCAACAGCAGCAACAGCAGCAGCAGCAGCAGCAGTTGGTTTGTTACGTGTATTCAGGGTTAACGAACCGAAAATACGTTTCTATTTTTCCGCACTCGGCGGTTGCAAAATATGATTGCGAAACGACTCGGTGCGACCTCACTCGCGGAATCGCGCGCGATATCTGCCTCCAAAAATTAGATCAGAAATCGAAGTGGAGCGCACGCTTTCGCCTTTATTCGACGTGGCAGGCGTTCGAGAACGGTATGAATAAGGATATCGGACCGTTCGCTTACACTGGAAATTAAAGCGTACCCTGCCTTTGTGGCGAGGCCGATGCGTACGAGAGAATAACAGGCAGTACTTTATTTATCTGAGGAACGAGACGCTTTGATAAAACTCGGTCAGTTTCGCTCACCACGAATGCATTCACGTTTATGTTTATTCATGTTGAAATATACATAATACTTTTCTCTCCCGCGGTACTCGTGGTATATCTCTGGAATTTTAATGCACGCGGCAACGCGAAGATTTATAATTGTCGCAAAATCGCGATCTTTACGCAAGGAAATTCTTCCGCGCATTATTTTGGAAAAATGTCTCTCCCGCTATTCTCAAGCTGAGAAAATATTTCCGCGGACGTTTCCGGGATGTTGCGGAACAGACATTTTACGCGGCGGAATATTATATATCGGAGTGCGATGCAAAAAGGCGTCACGATGCTTGCACAACCGTGCACACGCATGCATAGCAAGCCTTTCTTCCTTTTTCGTCCTTTTCCCGACCGCACGCCAGACGGAAGTATTTCTAAAACAGTCCAGACGTCGATTCTTTCTCTCAATTCTTCCGAGCGAGAGCAACACGCATAGAAATTCCGCCACTTGTTTCATCAATCAACAGACTTTTAGTGCCGTGCGCGTGCGTAATAGCTTATAATTAACTCGTTATTGAAGAGTAATCAAATGTTGGTGCATGTGAATTATAGCAGCGATAAGCGATTAATAACGTGTTAATGCGCGGGGAAAAAATTGCGTGTCGAATGATTGTGATAAGCGGGAAACTCATCGGCAAATATTCGCTACGCGTTCAAATTGATGATTAATTGATGATCGATATTTGGATATATTTGCCGACAATTAGTGGATCGATCGTTCCGCGAGATAAACGTGTCGCGCGAGACAAATAATTACTCACGGATAACTACAAGGACTAAGATGTATAGTGAGCTATTGTTAACGCGATGGGCTCAGACCGGAGATCCAATTCTGGTAGAAAGCGGGATAAAGGGTCGCTGCCGCCGCCACCACCACCGCCGACGCCGACGCCGTCGGGGGTGAGAACGCGATGCGTAAGAGACGAGGGGGAAGTCAGGGTTTTGCGCCCAGGACGAAGAGTTATTGACCTGCCGGCGAGGAGAGGTTCTCTTGTTCAGGAGAAACGGCTGGCAAGAACCTTTTCGAGGTCGTTTGCGTGGCGTACGAGACATCTCGTTGTCGTCAGTGTAAAGTGTAGGGCAAAGGAATATAAATCACCCTTTATGTCTTTTTGAAAGCTCTAGATATTCAGTTTTATCATAAAACAAAGAAAAAAAAAAACTTTGAAATTTTTGTGAATTACACTCTTTCTGTTTCGCGCGTGCGCTCTTTTCAATTTTAGTTTAAATGTTTTATTTATATATGAGAATTTTTTTTATTTTTGTAAAATCAGATTGTACAGACGATCATATATTTAGTTTCTACATTTTTTGGATGAAGTCGCCCAAGTCACCCCTTCTTTATGTCGCCTACCATATTGTTTCACTTCCATAGCTTCGATGAAATAAACTCAATCAGTGAACGGCGAACCCTCTTCCGTTATTCGTTTCTTTCGTCTTTTCTTCTTTCGGCCAATCCGGCCAACGATCCGCAGCGACGACGAGATTTCACTTGTAGTTCACCGCGGGGGTAAAACACACCCTTCTAGAAGGGAACACTTTGTCCTTTTAACACCATGTGGACGCGCACGCGTCGATGACTACCGTTAATCCTCGAGCTGGGGGTCTCGTTGAACCCGTCGAACACTGTCTTGCATCCTAAAAATATTTCTTTGGGTATTTAAATTTTAGGGGAGACATTCGAGTGTATCTTTCAGTAAGCCCATTGCGTGCATTGAAGTCGACACTTTAGAACGGCGATTAGAGGCGCGCTTTCAAATAACAAAACGATCGGGCAGGCAGTTATTAGAATAATTAAAACTGTAATGGATCCCTTTATTGAGTGAAAGCGACCGAGCGGGGCGACGCTTGATTATTCCGTCGCGTTTATGTAACACGCCGTGGAAATATAATTGCTTGCTGTATTACGCCGTGTGTAACCTCCGGTCTCCCCGCGCACGTACACAGGCACACGCGGGTCTACAACGACACTGTTGTTTGTCATGCGAGCGTGACGGAGTCACTCGTAAAATCTTCGTCGCGGTACGGCCGTAATGGACTCCTCGATGGTTTAATGCCACCATTACTTTTTCCGCGTGCCACCAAAGTGTAACCGTCGTCGTCAGTCGAAGTTTCCCGACGACGAGGAATTATCGTCAGCGGATCAGTGAAAGTACGCAATCCGCCGGCCGATATATAGATTTAGAACACACGAGAAACCCGAGCACGCCATTTATAGAATTCACTTTGCGAATGAGATTTTATTCCGCAATTTAAACGACTCTCGGTTAAATTTCGTATTTTGTACTCTAGAAATTTTGCTGTCCAACGAAAGATGCTGTTTTTTTTTCCAATCTCTTACGTTAAAAAGAAAATTAGAATTATTTTTTATTTGACAATAATATGACATTGAAGATTCCGTGACTTTTCTCGAGGAAAATCAAACATAATTAATTTATAGACCGTGTTGTTTCGCTTCAAAGGATTGGGATGGAAAGTAATGTGAAATTACAGGAGGATATCATCCCGCTCGCCATTGCTGCGGGAAAGAAGAAAATCATTTTTCATCCGTGAGCTCGGTGTGCAAAGCGCGTGCGATTACTCGGAGGTCAATCCCGGTCGACCCAGCGCGCCCGAGTAAACGCGATCTTCCGCGGTGCGATTAATTTTCTCGCGTGCCGCCGCGCTCGCGCATGCACGTCTATCCCGACAAACCTTGCGAACCGACGATAAGTGGGAACCGTGTAAGGTTCGTACGTACAAACAGCGTAAGCGCATTGTACAGACGATAGCATTAGCGATTCATGTACACGCAAGTCTAATGAGAAGTAGACTCGACGGACACACAAGATATGTAAAAACGAAACTCATATTCATTCGCGATGTATTAATTAGAGGGCTGATATCTCGACATTTTCGTTAGGAAAAACCGACTCCAGGTTATGCGGGAATTTAAAATAATGAAATGCACTTCATGAATTGAAATCCGAGAAGACTATTATTCTTTTAATCATTCTTCCTTGCTGCAAGCGTGTGTTTTACTACAATGAACATTTATTCTATTAATGATAATATCTTGAGAGGAACATGCTGGAATACAAGCGAACATTGCGATTCTTCCATTATGCTTTTGGCTTTTGCTGCCGACAATGATTTACGGAATCGTCTTCGTACGCAGCAGACACGAATAAAGCTTTTACCGGCGGACTTTCCCTTTCCGAGCTATCGCCAAGAGACAGAGACGCGTACGTTACACGCAAAATCGCCGCCCGTTCGCGCGACATAATGCAACTCGCCGCGCGGTTACGAGATCGCGCGGCGCAATTTCACGCGGATGCAAAACCCCGCGTTTTACGCTCGCCTCGATGCGGGCGTGATCGCACGCGCTCGCTTTATCAATTACCGGCGGGCTCCGTTGCTCGCGTGAGCAAGATGGAGTAATCGGTACTGACGGCCAAGTAATTACGCTAATCGACTCCTCGTTCAAATCAATTAATATAATGCTCCACGTGATGAGCCTCCTTTTCGACGATTTGCTTCCGTATCTTATAAAACTGAGAATAATTTGCGACATTCGATAACTGTTAATAACGTATTCTGACGGTGTAATTTCCGAGATAACCTTTAAAAATATTTTGCTACGCAGTTCCGCGAATGAGATAAAAAAACGCAGCAATCCGAGAGACATAAATGTCAATTCTTTAGCGTTTGATTGCTTATCTGCATTTGATCTATGCTATATAAAACCTATTAACATTGATTTCTTTTTTGTTTCAGCATAAGCTCAATCAGGGACCCACTATACAGTTCCTAGGAAATGAAGGGGTGAGTAAAAACAATTTTCCTTTCTATCGATACTGTGTCATATCCACGCGAGAGGTACGACATTGAAACAGCCGGTTTATCGGTCGATCATGCGAAAAGATTACGACAGGTTAGAGATAACAGGATCGCAAACAGATACCACGATTTCATATTTTTCACACGAACAAAAAATAAAAAGCAATTTTCTGCGTCACTCGCAGAAAAATAATATATATATATATCTTTTCTCTTAGAACGGCCAAAACTGTTAACTACGTTAACTACGTAAGCCGTCTCGTTTCTGTGAATCGCTATTTAGTATCTATGACGTTAGCACACGAGGAAATCCTGCGTGCGTCGGCAACAATGATTCCGACTCACTAATTATCGCGAACAAAGGCGAGTTATTCATCGCGTACACGCCGTCTCGTGAATCGACCTGTATGACGTCCCAGAAATTCCTGCGGCCGAAGAAGTGGTAAAAAGATTGTCGAATCTCGTCGGTTATTTAAAATCGTGTATAATGTCAGAGCGAGGGGGAGGAGAATGGTGAAATTTTTATTCGACGAAAAAAAAAGTGAGAGTGAGAGGACGACGAGTGTGCGGGTGCGCTGTCGACATCAACATTTTTTTCTCTCGATTCAACTTGACAGTTTATTAATTATTAATGTTTTATTTCACGCCATTCAGCTTAATGCAACGCAACGCGAAGAATTTATTTTCTCCTATATTTTACATACGTGTTATTATATTATTTTCTATATTTTGCATATAACTGTATTGAATTTATTGACTCTCTAAGCATTCGCACATCATCGTCGTCGCATCTCGTATCACGCGAAAGAGATCTCGCGATGGCAGCGCGGCGCTGCGCTGCCGACGTCGAGAACTCGATCTCTCGGCCGAGCGGTCGCGAGATCGTGTGTGTATGTATGTGTGTCGTCACGGCTCCACACACCGAAGGTTCCTCGGTGAAGGCGATCGAGGTCGTCCGAGCAAGGTTATACACCATTTTCTCTCGCCGCCGCCGTTCGGTGTCTCAAACCTTCCTAAACCCTTCGAATACCAAACGAATTTTTATCACATCAAGAGTCATACAAATTATACTTATTTGTATTACTTTACATAAATGTGCCTTATGTTAATGCGAGTTCATTAAATCTCGTTGGGGCTAATGTGCAATACATTAACAAGGAGTCTTTAAAAATTAGTTTAAAATACACTAATTACGTTAATTAGACAAATATTATATTTCATTTATACGATCTAAATCACTAATATTCTAAATCTATACTACGTATACAATTGATTTGCTTAATTCATCGTGCAATTAACGACGGTATAATCTTGAAATTATCAAAGTTGACGAAAGCAGCTCTTGAATTAAGGCTTAAAGCTGGTGAAAGGCTCTTTTTACTCATTTAGCAAAGTAATTCTTAACTACCACGATCGGTGCTCGTTAAGGTAAATTATTTATACTTGCTTTAAAAAACGTTTTTTGTGCTGGGTGATGTTTAAATGTTGTACTACGTAACAACCATATGCGACCGGCGTTCCTTAACGACAGTGGTCGATCGTCGATACGAAATCTTTCTCGGTGATCCGAAGGTAATTGACCTGCTCCCCTCGTCCTTCATCGGCTTCCCCTTGCTCTCGGGTGTGGTCGTCGTTACGTCGTTACTCACCTGTATGTACGTGTATGTGTGCGTATGTTGCAACGAGCCGCACGAAGTCGAATTCGACGAGGTGAACCTGTCGCTAATTGCAATGAAGTCGAAAAAATAAATTTTATCGAGAAAACAAAGGCGAAGGTATATCGCGGATAATTTTCTGTCACCCAAGATTCGTTTCATTACTTTGGAATTTATTTCTTATCTTCAAGATTCTTTAGGTGCTACTTACGTGATTAATCTTGAAATACGATATCATTAATTAATCCTTGAAGCTTGCATCCGCGGAAAATTAGCCTGACACATTGTCGACGAAATCTCCATGCATTCTTAGGAAATACGGAGATGTTCAGGATTTATTAGAGTTTCTTGGAAATTTTCTCTCTGCATTTATGTCTTTCTTCCTTTTGCGTTTCGTTTTCCAACAACGACTTCTCGTAAATTCGTTTTTCAGTTAATTGGCGAAAAGCCAATTCGTTTTCTTTTTCATTCATATGATAAAGATTTGTTGAACCATTCGTTCACATTACTTTCTATTTTATTTTGACCTTTGACAGTTTTCTATTGTTAAAAGAGTCTTGAAGATTGATGCATCAGCCAGCGTTGACTTTTGTAAGTAACTACGGTGGTAGCTTAACGCCTTAGGGCCTACATTCGACGTCTGAAAATTTATTCTTTAAGGACGACTCGTTACGAGCGGTCTCATGAGTCCTCGGGGAACGAGATCTCTGACGTCATTGACAGTTACACACAGTAACGACGCGCTATTTCTCAGAGCACAAGCATATCTCTGTAATTCTGCAACATTAAAATTAAATGGCTCAAAAAATGACTATACAACAATACATAAATTTATTAATTATTTATTTATTCAAAAAATCTTATTTGAGAAAAATTTAATTCAATTTTTCCTTGATGAGTATCTCAAGAAAAAAGTTATTTATTGTTATTTTTCTTCAGAGACTCAGGTTACATCTTTGATTAATTGTATACGCATACAGATATATATGCTCCGACAACACGAATACAAGTAACAAAGAAAAGCCGGGCTGGTACTGTCACGAACAGCGGGACATCCCAAGCGTTCTTTCCATTCTTTTCTTTTTCTCTCTTTCACATCCGTCTAAGGCTTCGGAACGTAGACCACCAGGAACGTAGATTATTCCAGTATATATAATTCGCCGTTTAGCGGGGACGTCCTTGTCGCAGTTGACGTATCCAGGGAGAGAACCGATCTCCGCTCGCGCCTTCTCTATATAACACCACCCGTCTGGATCGTGCAGCGGGCTGACACGCGCAGCGTATGCGCACTTCGCGTAAATGTATGTGTGTGTATGTATGAGTGCGCAATAAGCGATTTAATGTGTAGCAGCAATGCTAGGCACGATCGGGACACGATGCGTGTGTGACAATCGACGATTCGGGCCTTCCCGCGCGGAGAAACATACGACTTTGACACGTATGCCGCGCTAATATCGTTGTATCTCGCTTCTGCTTTCGCGATTGATGTGATCTTTCCACCGCGCGCAACTTTATCGAACGCGGAGAGTCTCTGTATTCGCGCGGGACACGGTTTAGCGATAGCGACGATCTTTTTTTTCTCCCGCGGAGATTCGTGTGCGTCTGACAGTTCACGCGCCTGTTCGATCGTATTTACGTACGTGTGCGTTGTGTGCATGTGTGAGCGCTCGCCTTCACATTGTTGCCTTTCACTCGGTTTCTTAGAGCGCCTCGCTTGTGTGTGGGTATTGGTTTTTAGCCGGGAATGGTACGTTACTTCACCACGGAAAGACCTCGGCTTTTCGGAGGCGGAAGAAAAGAAACCATTCCGGGCATTCGTAAATCACCCGGATGTGTGTTCTGATAGATCCGGAAAATGCTCTTTCTCTCGGTTATTAATTACATGCGGTGCGGGAAAGAAAATTGTGAGACTATGCCGATTTAATTTCGCCGAAATGCCCGCGTTTACAAAATACACAGTATTTGTAATTATTCAGTATTCGAGGAGAGAAATTTACGCGTTATTTTTTTGCAAGAATATTCGTATTTTAAAAGTGTCACTTGCAATAACTTGCAAAACTGAAATTTTTATTGATCAGTCGATCGATCAGACGTTCGATACGATCGTGAGCGATTTTGTAAACTTCGTTTTCACCGATTACACAAGTGCACAAGCAATGGCATGAGTCAATTCTCAATTACGTTATACACGTGACACAAAAAAAAATCTTTTATAACGTGGATTGCGACTGTTTTTCTTTTCTGCAATATTGTTGCCGGACGAGTGGAGTTAAATAACGTTGAAATTGAAAATTAACAGCTACGAACAATGCAACGATTGAGAATAAAAATAATCCGAGCGTTAAACATTTGGCGTTAAATGCAGGCAAAAGTGCACGCGCTGTTTTCATTTCGACGTCGGCGGTCGACAGTTTCTCTATTTTCTAATTTACATCTGAAAAGTAGGAAATACGTGACGTTTTTCTTCAGGGACGAATCGCAAGGCGGAAGTTCCTTTGCGCGTTATTGTCTTCTCGGTAAACGTTTCCTCCTTGAGCCGTTTACATACATTCGCGCGCGTGCAACACACATACAAGGTTCTCCGGCTTAAGGCGGTATCCCATCGTGCCGCGGTCAGTCGCGACTGACACGAACGTCGCTGCCGTAACAGTTACTTTTACGCGTGACCCACTTACCATTCTAGCAGTCGAATCTAAGCATCACAATGAGAAGTGGGTTGCCCTGAAATCATCGGACCGGCGTCACGACGCAACCCTAAAGCGAAGGTCGTCCGCAAAGCGGCATTCGGAAGGTCGAATGTGATCGCGCATAAGTGATGCGTAGAAATTTCTCTCTCTCTTTCTCTTTCTCTTTCCTACACGATTCTTTATTTAGATATCATAAAAGAAAGAATTCCACATAATTTATTCCGTAGTTTTAATTAACCTGCAACAACCTAAAAAAGTGGGGATGCTTTTATGATTATTAGCATACTTGTAAATATATTTTTTCACGCTATAAATCTAAGTTTGAAGATGAATATAATTTGCATTCAGAATATGTCGAATGTCAGCGGTAGAATGTCCGTGTAAGAGGTGGCGCGGTTCTGGAATGTTGCTCGACGATACCGTATTAAAAATCGTCAGATCTAAGCGCTGAGCCTTGAGAGATGGCGATTATCCTGCCGCGCCAAATGCGCGCGGATCGCGTATCGACGTTGATATTAAAGCGGCGAGACGAGGACGCACAATTGCCTTCGTAGATGACCTTTACTCGTCGATACACCGGCTTCTATGCTATGGATATGTGTCACAACGCGCGCGATATAGAATGCGTGAATTAATTTTAAGG